CTATTTGATCCTTACCGAAAGTTTGGACTTGTTGACCTTTCCTTTTTAAATTAATTTAGAATCAGCCAGACACTTCACTGACTGGATTATATGATTGATTAAGAACAGAGTCATTCTTGGAAGCTCATAAAATCCAATTCATAACACAGAGTGAATGGTTGAGGGAGTAATTGTTCCTGCTCCCTACAGAATGTATTTGTGCCTGTTTGTGTGCAAAGACAATGAGTGATTATCAGTAGCATACCCATTACCTGATAACAACCTTTCTCACAGTCGCCCAAACTGACTGACGCTCACTTCAAATTAATTTATCTAAACTAAATCAACCTAGTGTTATTTTCCCAGCTGGCATCCATCTGTTAAGGGGATATTTAACATCTGCTAAAGATAAAAAACATTAATATTTGTTGCCTTGGGTTTCTGGCGTGGGTTCTGCAGGGTAGAGGTAGATGCAACACTGTCCAGGGTCCAGGCTTTTGTTGCAGCGCCGACTGGGTTCTGGGATTAATGTTACTAAGTTGCAGGTTCTGGTCATATTGTGTGTTGATGCAAGGCTCTGCTGCGTTCTGTGTTTGCTGCTTGCTGGGTGCATTCGGTTCTGTTTTAGGCAGGGCTCAATAAGTCCATAATTATACCTCTGATAAATGTCTGTATTTACTGTACTATTCTGTAAAGTTTAAGCCGGTTAATTATTTTCCAAAAGACTTTTCATTGAGAAATATTTGAGATCCAAGGCTGAAAGATGCAACAAATAGTGCACCAACCCAGAGATTTAACGAGCCCTGTGCTCAGCCTGGTCTGCCCGTGTTTCACCACAGTGGAGTGAAGGATTCTGTGTTTTAGAACATCCTGTTATTATTCAGGAAGAGATCAGGTACATTTTTACTCTTATTCTGAATGAAATCATTGATCCAACATGGCATCTCTGTGTGTCTCACCTTTTGTACACATAAGTCAGTCCCTTACTTCCACAGTCCATGGAATATCCTTTTAGCTGATGGGGGAGCTGGTTCCCATCTGTAATGGTCAACAACCAAAGAGTCACCAAAGTTTTTAAAGTGTTTTATTAAAACAAACTGTCCGCCATTAAATTTAGCTCCTCATTTTGTGCTAAAATTAATATTTTTTTGGCTGCAGAGTTGTTCTAGGGACTGTGGATGAAGGAAAACTATTACGCTCTTATTTGGGAAAGATATAAACAGAAATCCTTAACAAGATTGCTCAGGTCTGTTTTTGTCAGACCTAGGCTGCAATTTAATGGGAATGCCATGAACACATCCGCTCTGGGGAAATATTCCGTTCTCAGTCTAATTTCATCCATTATCTGCTCCCTACAGCATTACCAGGCTATGCTTCTGTATGCTTATTTTAGCCACTGGCTTGATGCGTACTTAAAGTCAGTTAGTAGATATGTCCAAATTTAAAAACCGAAAATATTTCCTTTTTTTTTTTTTACCTCAGCCTTCCCATTAAGGTCAAAGATGACTTTATTAGCTAAATGTATGTGGTTTTAGGTATTATCTTTTGATTTTAACATTTTGATATTGTTCTTTGATTGTATTTATAACTTGGTAATAAAACGCAGTTGTAATCATACCTACAGAAAAGTGTATTTTAAAATTATTATAATTTGTTGTAAACTTTTAAGATTCTGAGGTTTTCTAGTTATAAAACTTGAGGATATATCTTTTAGATACATCCAGTGATTAAAAACAATGTTTTATCAAAAATAAAAGCAGGATATTCTATTTTATTTTAAATTTATAATTGTGTCTTATAATATAATAGTTTAGAGACGATGATAAATTCTAGAGATATTTACAACAGAACAATGAGGTTTAGAAATGAAATTAATTTCTATAAAATAATAAAATTATAAATTAAACAAGGTTAAAATAGTGTATGCCTGCTATCCTGTTTCTACTGAAAAGAGAAAAAGGATATAATGTAAAGCAACAAGTCGGTGTCTTCTGTTTGTCTGACTTCACCTTTTTAGTTCCCTCTGCCTCGAACAGATATCCAGTCAGGAAATTAAAAAATGCTGCAATGATAGTGGGAGCCGCCTGTGTCGTCACATACAGATAAAGCTGTTTATTGAACCCTGGCAACCAAAAAAAGCAATAAACGAGCAACAGAAAGGTAAAAATGGAGCTATAATTAGACAGTGGGCACAATCACCAGAGTTCACAATAAACATCCAGTGAGCTGACTGGACGCCATCCTGCCATGTCCTCTTTGCTCCAGTCTGTGCAGAAAAAACCCAAATGAACCTGAGCATGCTGTTAACTTATTTTCCACTCTGTTTGTCTTTCTCCATAGACGTGCTGAACGATGCCATTTTTGATGAAGACCACGACGAGATGGTGATCGTCAAAGACATAGACATGTTCTCCATGTGTGAACACCACCTGGTTCCCATCTTTGGCAGGGTGAAAATACAGCCGACACTCAAACAGAAAGCGTTTAGAGACATAAGGTTTCTAAAACAATAGTTATTAGAAGTTTTTTTTCTTCATCCAGATCATTTGGTAATTATTGTTTTGGTAATAATTTACACAGCTTAACTGCTGGTAAATATCACAATTACTTTTAATAACTCTTATTGAAAGTCTTAACAGTCCCTATAATATACATCTAAATCATTTTTATCATTTATACTCAATTTAGAGGCTTTTAATTGAGACTGGCTTTACTTCCTGTTTTCCTTTGGGCTTGATATTTAAAAGAGGAGGGGCAAATATCATTTGTTATAATCCAGCCAGTGGCAGTTCTAGACCAGATTTACTAAGGGTGTCAAGGTAGGCACGATGTTTTTCCACGAAAACACATCATGAAATATTAAAAGAAACAAAAACAGAACAGGGCGATCCTGTTCACATACAGGAAACCACAACGCTAATGTTGAAGATTCCTGATCTAGATGAAAAATGTGATCCTTTCTTAATATGACTGAATCTTAAAGTGATATTTCTAAATAATATGTAAAGTAAACAGTAAAGGTAAAAGATTAAGTAAGTCCAAGGCTCCAATCAGTTTTGATATCTGCTTTCAGTGCATATTGCTATAAAAAAATGAATGCAGTATAAAGTTTTTAGTGAAGGGGCCATTAAAGGGGCCAGGACCCATTTTCATGGATTCTCGAAAAGCTGAGGATTTAAAAAAGCTATTTGTTTCTGACATAAACCTAAAAAAAAAAGATTTTCAGTGAGTCTTAACAAGTGTAACAATCTAAAACCTGTTTTATTCACTATGAATGGTGTGGCAGACATCTCTCCAAATTTCATGGGTTGCTGTTGGCTTTTAAACAGAACAGTTTTATTTAAATTTTAGTCTGTGTGGCTTATGTAGAATACTGCAGATGTGCGTACTAAAGAAACAGCAGAAGCAGAAACTAACTGAAATAATACAACAACTAAAATGTTAGCGCATCAACCCAATTTGACTTAAAAATAGACTTAAAAATAAACTTAAAAGAACAGTTCAAAGATGGAGGTGTGGTGATCTGAGGTTTCTCCATTCAAGAGGGTCTTTACAATATTTTAAATGCTTAAACAGCTAGATAGCAACTTTCAGAAGTTGGCAGTTTTTAATTTTAATCCTTCAGGAAGATAATGATACAAAATATACGGCTTAAACTAAAAACACTTAGATTTGCATTGTTGGTTGGATTGTTCTGAATTTCCCAGTAAGATTTTAATACTGCAGAGAAATAATATTTGAAAGCATTTTACAGATCTAACTGTTCAACTTTAACATCTGCTTGGGTTAGTAGATGCTCCTTTAGGTTCTCAAGACATCAGTAAAATCACATATAACCATATAACATGAATTTGTTATTTGAACCAAAATACTCCAGCATGTGAAGAGATGATGTCACCAGCTGCATTCATGGATGGACACTTTCTTGAGCCCCACAGCAAACTTTATTTTACGTACATGTAAAAATCCAAACCTTCGTCACAAACATAGTAAGATCTCAGCAGATGTTTATCTTAAACCAATTCTTCTGTTTGTCTGGAGGCCGCTGGTCTGAGCAGCTGAGAACATGGGAAACAATCAGATTAGCTGAGATCTGTTTATCTTCAGCCTCCTCTGTTCAGCTTTAGCATCATTACTCTCCACTACAGCCCCACAAAGCAGCCTCCTCCTCTACTTCTGCCTCTTCTTTGTCCGTTTCCATCCCTCCATCTTCACCTGCAGCTGCACGTCATTTTAAAACAATGAGCGTCTGCTGTTGATCATTTTCTTTTTTCTCCACTGTTGTAAATAGGCTGTGATGATAGCTGTGAGTCACACAAACACGCACCGCGCCACCTGTGTTACAGCGAGCGTGCGTTCATGTCTCTAAGCCTCCTCGTCTCTTACCCCCCGTCATCACTGTCAGCGGCGACTGTGTTGTTGATCAGATGAAGAGCAGATTGGCGTCACTTGGTTTTATTAAACTATTTGAGGTGTCTTTGGGTTTTATTGTGGATTATAATGTGTTTGCAGTTTAGAAATACCCTCTTTCTCACCTCTTCTGTGAATACTTTGAGATAAAATTGCAAAACAAACTAAAGTAAAAAGGTAGGCGTGGTCTGTGATAAAATTATCATGGATTTAAGTATCAGAGTATGTCCGCTTAAAGCAACTCGTATTTTATAATATGGTAAAATGTATTTTAGACAAATCAGTCTCACAGCTGCAAAATAAACATTGTAAAATATTATGCAAGTGTGGTACACATTCAAATCCTGCTTTATAATTTGTAGAAACATATAATATATAATAATGGAACTTTATTGATCTCACATTAGAGAAATTTACCTCAGCATTTAACCCATCGCCTTGGGGAGCAGTGGGCTGCCATCGTGGGGCGCCCGGAGTGTGGGGTTAAGGGTCTTTGCTCAGAGAGCCAGAGTGGCAGTCTGTGGGAGTGGGTTTTGAACTCACAACCTCAGGATTCCAAACTCTATGCCCTGACCACTAGACAGCCACTCCCCAAAAATATAGAATAAATATAGAGTAAATACCGTAAATTCTCTAATATTGGCCTGTATTCCAATAGCGGCCGGG